ATATGTGAGGGCTAACAGAGACCTCCGGAAAAACCATCCCTGCCTTGCACTTGCTTCTTCTGTCGCTGCCTGACATGCCAATAGACAACACAGCTGCAGGGGCCTTTTGTCCTTGAGGATGGACGCCACATTTGTGGATGCAAAACAGACAAAGCTTAGGCCTCCAGGTGCCTCCTACCACACTTACTTTATGTGAGGAATAGTCAACACAGACCTTTTTGGGGGTTGTCTCTCTAGTGTACTCACACCTAATTCCAAGTGAGGAAAATCCTCTTGTGGTCTGGGTTAGCAACTGTATTGAAACTAGATGAGGGTCATGATTTACTACAGCAGATTTAGTAAATCAGAAACCTGGAGGAAGGCCCTGCCAATCCAGCTACCTGATAAACCCTCAAGGTTAGAAATCCCAGTTAAGGAATCAAGATAAATCCTTCCTGTTCCCTGTTGCAGGGTAGAGAAAAATCTTCTCAGTGTCATTAGCTTATGCCTATACACTCAAGAACTATGAGGGCTGTCTTCAGCAACAGGTCCTTATCAAGTTGTGGAGAGCAATCAGTAGCGTTGGCAGTAGCCTGTAATGTCTTTTATTTTGGGAGGAGGGCTCATAGGAGCGCTTAGGCCAACAATTCAATAGGATTACTGCACATATGAACTCACAGAGACTTTGGCAGCACACATAGGACCTGCACAGGTTCTGGTTGGCTGGGGTCCATGACTGAGATGGGGAAGTGGGCACAGGATCCCACCACTAACCAATAAGTTATTTGCAGTTGATTCTAGCTGGGAAAGGAAAAAAGTTTTCTTCCATGGGAAAATCGGTTTTCTTTAATGGAGCATCACTGGGTGTATAAGCTACACACAGGCCCCATTACCTGCAGTAGGTAGCTGGCCAATAGAACATTAACTCCATGGCATTTTGCATGTGTGTGTGTGTGGGGGGGGGGTGCTAGGACACTGGGGGGTGGAGCTGTTTTGTTTTATTTTGATGGGTTTTTTTTTTTTTGGTCTTATTGGTTTTTGATTTGTTTTTATTTCAGGTTTTTAGTTTTCTTTTGTTTTTGAAAGAGAGGGAAAAAATGAGCACAAAGATGGGTGGTTTGGGAGGTGCAGAGAACCTGGGAGGAATTGAGGGAGGGGGAAACATGCTCAAATATATTTCATGATAAAAATGTCTTGAGAATCAATTGGGCATATTTGAGTTTCAATGTCAGATTCACTATTTCCTGACTATAGGATATTGGGGAAAATGAGGATGTTTTTTTGAGTCTCACTGCCCTCACTAGCAAGTGGGGATTATAACAACAGGAACCCTTACAGCGCTACTGTGTCCATCAAGTAAAATAGCTATAGAGCTAAGCTCTGCACTTCAGTATTTGAGGTACTCACAAGAAGAACATAGCTTCTTAGGCTAGCAAGATGGCTCAGGAGGTGACAGTGCTCACAGCCAAGTGACCACCTGGGTTCCATCTTTTGGACCCACATATCTGCAAGTTGTCCTCTGGCCAACACACACACACACACACACACACACACACACACGTACACACTAAACAAACAATAAATATAATTATAAAAATAGAAGCTGCTGCATTCATTACTGAATAGCATTGCACAATCATATTCCTTACGTATAGAGCTTAGGAGACTCTAAGGAGACTCTTAGGAGACTCTGGGAGAAAAGGCAAAATACTTTTCTTTGTATGTAACATAACTGACAGATAAACTACAGGGTAGCAGTTTGTGAATGTCCTGTTCCTACTTTTATTTGGGGCCTTATGAAATGTCCATGTCACCAGTGAAGGAAAAAATGATGTCCATCTGGAACAGAAAGTCTTACAAGACTAAAAAGAAAAATGCTTATACTACACCCCCTTCAAATAAATAAATGAAAGTACCATGCTCCTTTTCACCAGTTTCTGCTATTTTTCATTTTTTTCTAACAACAAGCCTTTCTTTACAAAAGCCATATCTGACCTTTTTCTGTGTCTTGTCTAAGCCTCATCTCTACTGGACGGAATCAATAGCTGGGAAAAGTTGTGGTGTCTTTCTGAATGAGGCTTGAGCATCTTACCCAGGGTCCTCCTTCTTGTTTAGCTTTTAGAAAGGCAATTGGGATAGCATCCGAAGAGGGAGAAAACAGGGAACAGGACAGAGCACAGGACAGCACAGAGGACCTCTGGACGTTTCTACCCAACAAGGTATCAAAGCAGATGTTGAGACTCATAGCCAAACTTTGGGCAGAGTTCAGGGAATCTTATGAAAGAAACTGGGAAGATAGAAAGATCTGGAGGGGACAGAAGTTCCACAAGGAGAGCAATAGAACCAAAAAAATCTGGGCCCAGGGGTCTTTTCTGAGACTGATACTTCAACCAAGGACCATGCATGGAGATAACTTAGAAATCGTGCTCAGATGTAGCCCATGGCAGCTCAGTATCCAAGTGGGTTCAGGGGAACAGGGACTGTCTCTGACATGAACTCAGTGGCTGGCTCTTTGAGCACCTCCCCCTGGGGGTGGAGCAGCCTTACCAGGCCACAAAGGAAGACAATGCAGCCGGTCCTGATGAGACCTGATAGGCTAGGGTCAGATGGAGGGGGAGGAGGATCTCCCCTATCAGTGGACTGGGGAGGAGTAAGGGAGGAGAATTGGGAGGAGATGAATGACAGGGCTACAGCTGGGACACAAAGTGAATAAATTGTAATAAATTTTAAAAAAGAAAAAATTTTACTTCCTCTGGGCTAACCCTTGCATGGGATCATGACATTCTTTCTACAGCCAGCGTGCATGGCATGCTTAACTACTTAACTCCCATTTTGCAAGTTATAGTACAAGAAAATTATCCAAAACTAATCCTGGCTCCAACTAGTTATCACTAGATTCAATACAGTTCTTTATTTTTTCAAAGGTAAAGTTAGAGCAGAAAGCAAAAATCTCAGGGTTAAGCCCTTTGGGAGCTATGTTTATATTTGATTGATCTGTTTCAACAGCAGTAGAGACAGCCAGATGCAATAAAATGCTTAACTTAATTAAAACTGTAATACTGTAAATCCTTGTAATGTGTCTTATACATCATTTTTTCCTTTCCTCACGCTGCTGTCAGCTTCTGTCTAAATTCTCCCTTTCATATAAGTCTGAAATGTAAAGAACTACGTTAGGACAATAAGGCAGACTCCAAAACTTACTGTTATCACGCAGCTCGCCCTGAGTCAGAAGAGTGAGTAGCCACTTTCCCACTGTACCTGTCCATATATCCTGCTTTCTCTGAGCAACCTGGAGACCTGGCTTGTATATGTTTCTTTCCCATGCAGCCCACCAGCCTCTGACTGAGGTAGGTACAAAGAATTTGGATAGAACCCAGTGTCCATTTTAGATATCTAATTTCATTTCCTAAATGCTGAAAACCTACATCTAATTCTTGGTGTTATATCAAGGGATTCTTACAGTTAAGAACTCAAGTATTAGGAGTCATTTGTGTCAGGTCAAACTGTTTTATGAAGAAAAAAGGTTATGAATAAGTTGAATCTCAATAATTTTAATAAAAAATCAGAGGTGGGAATGTTGAGACACACTTTTAATCCCAGGACTCAGGAGACTGAGGCAGGAGAATTGCCATGAATTTAAGGTCAGCCTTGGATATATAGTGAGTTTGAGGCCATTCAGACTACATAAAATTTGGTTGTAAAACAAACATACATCTTCATGCATAGAATTCTCCCTTAGTTATCCGTTCAAATCTTCTCTAAAATTCTCATCTTCCTTTGTAACAGTCTTTCACGTTTACCATTATTTCTATATGATTCATGATTTTGCTATTGTTTGAGGAGGTTTGTTTTAGGGAAAGAACGATTGACAAGGCATGGCTCTGCAAAGGACACTTTCCCAAAGAGGAACCACAGCTTCATTGGCAAAAGTCCTGTAAGAACCATAGACTCAATCAACTTAGACACTATACAGTAAGTAGCTCCCAGATGACACCTTTGTTTTGTGTCTTTTCATTTTGAAAATAAAATGAAGCCTGCCATTTATTTTGGTTCCTTTGCATGTCAATTATAGTTCTTTTCAAATACACACCAACTCTTCCTCACAAGTCCCTCAAACATTCCTGAAAGACTCAAGTATGTATGTACCTGTGTTAATCCTTAAGCCTCGTAAAATAGCTTCTCCCCAACTCTGTCCAAGTTCATCAATGCATGAGAAATTAATCCAGATTTCTAACTTTCATGGCCTCCTGTCCTTTTCCCTCCACTCACTGTCATTACGGGTGTGCATTGGTGGCCTTGTGTCACACAGGGACCCAGCTCCAGGAAGACTTTTCCTGAGTCCACAGCAACAAACAGTACACTGGTTGTTGTTGTTTTGTTAGTTTTTTTTTTCCCAACATGTACTATTATTAAAAGATGGTACAGACCCTGGTTGAGAGCTTCTGATACCCACCATCCACTGTGCCTAAAATCAAGGCCTAGCCGTGTAGAGAGAACACATACTGTACGATGCCCAGGCTCTCAGCATAGGGCAAACAGCACTTATGACCTGCTTTGCTTAATTCTAACCCAAGAAGGAAGTTGTTATCTGAAGACCTCCTTTCAGAGTAAAATTTCCTGGACGAGTTCAAGAAAAATCTGTGAGGCTTTGCCAGGTTTTCCTTTACCTCTGAGTTCATCTGTCTGTAATGCAAATATGCTTACTCAAGGAACCCAGCTGCTTAAGGAAGGCTCGCTGAACTCCCACAGGAGCTAGGAGTAAATGAAATCCAAATAAAATACAAATGTGAGGTGGTGGAAGTTTTAAAGGCTGAAAATTTCTCTGCAGAGTAAACGAAGCATTGTTAGGATGAAAATAAAGGAGGTGTGTGTGTGTGTGTGTGTGTGTGTGTGTGTGTGTGTGTATTTCATGTATGTGTGTGTACACTGTGCTGGGCCAATAGGACAGAGGTTAAAGCATTTACACTTAGTCTCAGGCAGGCCAAGCAGCAGGAATTTCCAGTCCCCACGACAGGTATTACCTGTTCCAATAGAGCATTAGCCCTCTCTTCTGCTTCCTTCAGGCAACTCTCCAAGTGTTCCAGTTGTTCCAGAGTAAACACCGTCTGTCCACTGTCTGGGGAGTGTACCTTGAAAACAAGAATCAAGGGGGTTTGGGTTTTCCTTTGTTTGGAGGTTTCTTGTTTTGGTTTTTTTTTTTGTTTTGTTTTGTTTTTTTTTGTTTGTTTTTTTTTTGGTAGAAATTGTTTCCTGAGCACTTTTTAAAACAACTTTATGAACTAAGGATAAGTTTAGTTCGTGGACACATACTAATCTTCTTTTCTTACTTCTAATAAAACTGCAGATTTTTAGAGAAACAACTTAGTCTAAAGGGAAGGTGAAAGCCACCAGACAAGGAACAACTTCAGAAAGTGAGAGCAAAACGACCCATGTTAGAATTTGGTTAATTTGCAACTTTTGTTCTTCCAGAGGTTAGGATCAAAGTTTCACATCCTGATAGGGGGTGTCTCCTGCATGCTGTGTATTGAACACTCATCTTCCAGGAAGACCATCTGAATTCAGAGATACATGGACCCTTTGACCTTCACTTATCTGTCTGCAGAGGCAAGGGAGTAAAGACAGCCCTGGTTAAGAATGACATCAGTCTTCCCACAGCCTGACCAAATAATACTCAAGCCAGAAGATATAAACCCTCTTGAAGTTACTCTAAAGTTACTTTCTCTGAGCTACAGGATAGAGAGTGGCTCAGAATAAGTATAGACTGGACACTGAGCCTTGAGAATGCCCTAACCATACGTCAGCTAATGTGGCAACCACTATTCACTGGTCTATTTGAAACTGTAACTACAGAATGGCTCTAATGGGAGCAAGCACTATGACCTTCCTGGGTATGTGTCGTTGTATGTACTGTTTTCTTGCTGCTGCTGCTGCAGGACAGCTGTTTCTGATCAACTGTGCAAAGAGTAAACTGTGGTCCTGTATACTCTAAAGATCACAGCTTTCTTTTCCCCTCTGGTTTATGACACCATCAGTTTAACATATGTGCATTTCCTGATAATGCTATAGTGCCATCTGGTGGTGCATGGAACCAACCATTGAAAATAAATGTTTGTATGCAGAATCCAAGGGCTTTGGCCATTGGCCTAGTGAAATCAATGGACCACCATGAGATAAAGAACAAAGACAGTGTTCTGGTACACAACAGATTTGGCTTCTAGACTAAAGTTTGTCCTGAACATCTGCACAGCTCTCTCCAAAGTTTGCCTGTAGGGGTGAACATCTTAGACCTAGAACAGTGACCATACAGGCAAGGTGGAGGCAAAAAGGCCTCCCTACGCCAGGGTGATTTTATAATTTCAAGAGTGGGTTCACGACTGGTCACATACAGAGAACACCTGATTGCGTGGTGCCCAGCCCTGACTGATCCATTTTACAAGATAACCCCTGTACCTGAATCTCAGGAAACATCATGGAAGAGGTGGTAGAGACATTGTAAGAGCCAAAGGACTGAGCTAGTGTTTTCTATAAATACAGGGAAGCTGTATCAAAACTGCGACAATGTGGTTGTCTAAGCAAGACCTAAAATTGATACCACCAATTGACATGCCAGAGTGGACGAGGGATTCCTGCGAGATTTCATTCACAGAGGAGCAATTGATGGCTGCCGGGAGAGGGAGAACCAGACTTCTTCAAGGACAAGCCACACACTCCCCCCTCCCCATGGGTTTGCCAAACTCAAGAGATCAGCCTAAACACGTGTGAACAAAATACTAAATGATCTCAGGAGGATGTGTTTTTAAGTGTATGCACTTATATGTGAAATAATATTTGTGATGGCTTAAATGTTCTCCAAAAAGCAGCCTCAAAACCAATCCTTAGATATTCGTACTCAGAAATAAACACATGTTGTACAACATTTTGTGCAGGAAGGGGAAATCATCAGGAGGCCAACTATCCCACAAAAATATGTAAAGCCGGCTCTAGACTTCTGGCCCCAGGAAGAATCCTCTTGCCTAGAGTCAGAGCTCAAGAGAAAAGTTTTAAAATCTGTGTCTAGACCATACAATCTGTTTCTTAGTCCTTTTTCTCCCCACAGCGCCCAAATCAAGAAATTCAACGATGCAAGACAGAAGGTCTGCAATGTCAAAACTATGCAGGACTGAAGACTGAACAGCCAAGGGCTTCCACAAAGACGATTTGAGGAACTCGTCATATGGTCCAGAATGCAGCACAACCTCAGCAACTATAACATGCAGGGTCTGCATCCTGCACATTTTCCCAGGCGGGGGCTGCCCCTCGGCACTCTCTGAAGCACCCAAGCGCTCCATTTGCTGACTTACAAGAAAAAGTTTACATAGGCGAACTCTTCTCGCTAAGAAGCAACTTCATTAGCCAAATGGAAGAGTAAAACTTCAAAATAAATTTAGAAATGAGCACAATGTGAAGATTTGACTGGAGGGACCCCCTGAGTGTCAGAGGACCCGAAAAGGAGAACGCAGTCAGTCATTGTGTATTTTGTAGGCTAGCAAGGCAGAAAGGCAGAGATGGGGCTTCCGTCCTGAGTTTAAGCCCTGGCAGACGCCACACATTTGTGTTACGAAAAAGCAAACACTCTTGATGGTTAAAGTACTGACAGGTGAATTACGCTAATTAACAATTTGCTAGATCTGGAGAGGACAGGAACTCCACAAGGAGAGCAACAGAACCAAAAAATCTGAGCACAGGGGTCTTTCCTGAGACTGATACTCTAACCAAGGACTATGAATGGAGATAACCTAAGACCCCTGCACAGATGTAGCCCGTGGCAGTTCAGTATCCAAGTGGGTTCCATTGGGATAGGAACAGGGACTGTCTCTGACATGAACTGATTGGCCTGCTCTTTAATTACCTCTCCCTGAGGGGGAAGCAGCATTACCAGGCCACAGAAGAGGACAAGGCAGCCACTCCTGATGAGACCTAATTGACTAGGATCAGAAGGAAGGAAAAGAAGCCCTCCCCTATCAGTGGACTTGGGAAGGAGCATGCATGCAGAGGGTGGTGGAAGGGAGGGATTGGGACGGGAGGAGGGAGGGAACCATGGGGGGGAGACAAAGTGAATAAAGTGTAATTAATAAAGAAAAATAAAATAAAAAAATAAAAAAACAATTTGTTGCATGAAAACAACAAAAAATCGAGAAGAATGCAGTAAAGGGAACACTTGAACACCACAGAGAGGAATGCCAGTCAGCCCAGACGCCATGACCATCTGCATAGCGAGTCCTCAGGAAAACAAAACTAGAACTATCCTGTTGACGTATGCAACCCTTGGGCATTGTACCTGAAGGAGTCCAAGTCCACATACCGTAGGCATTCCCGCACCTCTATGTTTATTGCAATGATCTTCATGACGGCCATACAATCAGATCAGCCTAGGTGCCCACCGATGAATGAACGGATAAAGGAAACGTAGCATATATACACAGTGGAGTTTTATTTAGCCATAAAGAAGACTTAACCGCCATCAATAGAAAAATGGATGGGGCAGGAGATTACTGTGCTGTGTCATATAAGTCAGTCTCACAAAGTGTGGCGTGTTTTCTTTCACGTGTGGGGGAAGGAGGGAAGAACTGAATGTAAAGGAGACATTAGGGATGTGAAAAGGGAAAGGGGGGCTAGAGGGAGAATAAGAAAGAAAATGTGATCAAAAGTACATTATAAGAAAGCATGGAAATGACAGAGAAAAAAAGGAGATGGCTACATAAAATCACATTGCAAAAATACAGGTGATGATATTGTTTTTAAATAAGACTCTGATTTCTAAAAGGATAAATTTCAATAACGCAATAATTTCTATTTTTAGTTTTCAACTTTTAAATTTGGATCTCTTAAATGTTTAGACATAAGTGTCAAGTCAATTTAAAGACATGTAGTTAAGATGATCAAATTAATATACTAGTAAATAATTTTAATCATCACACATATTCTTTGATTGCAGTAATGATGCCAAGCTATTATATAGTGAACATGTATTTGAGTTGATATTTTATTAATGGAACAAACATACAAAACAAAAGCATAGGCTTGTTTTTGGTTGTAGAAGTTTCTCACTTGAGAGTTTAGAGGAAGATTTACATCTTTCCCTGCTCCCCACCCCCATTTCTCCAATCTATCCCAGGATGTTCTCTGCATCCTCTCCCTAGCTCTTAGTGCCTTTATTTCTGTGTCCTCAGATGACATAATTCATCTGTGTCAGCCCTTAAATGCCTTCAAACCTTGAGAGCTGGTTCAAGGTTGCTGCTGGATAGGATTTGATGTTCTCCTGCTCTGGCTTGTGAGTGTAGAGGTTGCACAGGGCTTTGCTGAACCCTTAATTGAAGCCAAATGAATAACTGTTGATTGATCAAAGGCTCGACAGCTCAAAGGAGATGGTTTTATCAAAGTGACTGTCCTTCATGTTGAGTCTTGACAATAGCTTCTTTGAGTAACACTTTCCATGTACCGTCCTGTGACACTGACAGAGTTCACGACCCAAGGAAGTTCTGCTTTCCAGGGCCAGAGATGAGACAAGCATGGCAGAGGACAAGGTTGTGGCCATGATCTTAGGTGCTAGTAGGTACATTACAAAGACCAAGCATTAATAATAATATTAAACAGGTAACCACATCAACAGATGACACATTTGGTCAATATCAATAATTTCATTAAGCGAACTTAAAAAGAATAGTTTTGTATTAAAGCCTTCTTGATGATTAAAAAAAATTAAAAGAGAATTCTTACAAGTATGCTTTTGTGACAGCAAGTGATCAAACAACAGTGGTGGAAAATTCAGTCAGGAATGGAATTAAGCTAGTGAATTCGGCCAATACACACATGTGCATTCATTTAAAAGAAAGATTGCTAAAAAGGAAGTGGCCATATATTCTACCTTTATAGAAGAGGATTTTGACACAGGTCTGGTTTAGAGACAGTGTCTCTGAAATTGGAGAATTCTCACATGCCAGGTGTCCATCAGGGTCCCGGCTCAGAGGTCCACTCACTTCATCCATATTGGAGACTCTTTCAGCAAAGTTTGTACTGGTTGAGATTCCTGTCTGGTATTTCGCCTCTTCATGGATGCTATCTGTTCTTTTTCTTCACCTGTCTGCTGTCT